AGGAATGCCCAAAATCTAAAGCAGAGACAAATTACATTAATATGGTTGAAAACAAGGGTCCTGTACATATTCTTGAAGAGAGGGAATCTATCCTGCAGTAGATTATAAAAATTTAAGAGCATCCTTCTCCTTCTTTCCCACACACCAAAATATAATCAATCAATCAATCAATTAATCCAAACAGAGTCTGGGACGTTATAATGAAAATCAGTCTGGGAATATCTGAAAAGTATGAGACTATCAGTGTTACAGCCTAGGGAAGGTGGGGCTTCATTAGAACATACATGTAGATGAACAAACAGCTCCTGGCTGCCTGCAAGCATTTATAATTTATTCATTTAACATCCAGCAAGAGTAAAATTGTCCAAGATAACATACTTTCCATATAAAAAAAAATCAACACCTGTCCTCAAAGATATATGAGTATGGCTATGGAGGATACAAAGAATAACACAGGTTGCTCTTCCTGAAGGCAGATCATTTAATTAAGGACGAAAAAATGCAGAGCTTACTTGATGCAAAAGGTTAACAACACAAAAACATAAATTAGGAGGTACTGCAAGGTAGCATATGACCAAATGCCAAATGAGAAGTAGTCTGGCTGTCAGGGGCTGGGGTTCTCTGGGAAAGCTTCAGAGGAAGTAGCATGGGAACTGAGTCTTTCATTATACTACAATGATTATAGGATCTCCAGATGAAGAGATGGGAATATCCGAAGGCGCGGAGATGGTAATTAACAAGACATGAAAGGAAAGAATTAAGAATCACAACTTCAAGACAGAAAGTAAAACAAATGAGAGAAGCCTCTTAGATACAAAAATTATCCTCACTGAAGAATAACTGAGAAGGAATGAGAAAAAAAGTTCAGAAGCATTGTAGCTAAAACAGAAAATGACAAATGTGGACAGGAATTGCAAAGATTTAGACACCACTTAAAAGGTAAGGATAACTGAAGAAGTGGAAAATTACAGCTGTTTCTCAAGAGAGGAAAAGGCAGCCAGTGGACTGTACTCAACACTGTTTCAAGATCCACTATCTCAGTCAGCAATAACTAATTATACAGTCAGGATCTCCTGAATCATAAAATGATGCAATTCCCTAATAAGGGGCATGGTGGAGATAATGGCAGGGACAATATGACACAGAGCAATCTCACAATCACTAGCTGTGGTTCCTTGAGCGAGACACTAAACTTACCTGAAGTGGTTTTTTTTGTTTTTTTTTTTTTTTAAGAAAGAGTCTCGCTCTGTCGCCAGACTGCAGTGCAGTAGTACGATCTCGGCTTACCACAACCTCCACCTCCCAGGTTCAAGCGATCCTCCTGCCTCAGCCTCCTGAGTAGCTGGGACTACAGGTGCACGCAACCATGCCCAGCTAATTGCTGTATTTTTAGTAGAGACGGGGTTTCACCATGAGGTCACGAGGTCTTGATCTCTTGACCTCATGATCCGTCTGTTTGGGTCTCCCAAAGTGCTGGGATTACAGGTGTGAGCGACTGTGCCCAGCTACTTCCCTGAGTTGTAATATCCTCTTCTACTAATAAAAGGTCTGGGCTGGGCACGGTGGCTCATGCCTGTAACCCCAACACTTTGGGAGATTGAGACAGGTGGATCACCTGAGGTTGGGAGTTCAAGACCAGCTTGATCAACATGGAGAAACCCCGTGTCTACTAAAATTACAAAAAATTAGCCAGGTGTGGTGGCGCATGCCTGTAATCCCAGCTACTCGGGAGGCTGGGGTATGAGAATCGTTTGAACCAGGAGGTGGAGGTTGCAGTAAGCTGAGATCACGCTACTGAACTCCAGGCTGGGTGACAGAGCAACACTCCGTCTCCAAAAAAACGAGAGCGAGAAATGAAGAGAAATACTGTGTACATGATTTAGAAAATTCAACACAGTAAAGCTATCAATTCTCCCTAAATTGATATAAACATTTAATGTAATTCCTCTCAAAATCCCAGCAAAATTATTTGTAAATATAGATAAGATGATTCTAAAACTTACACAAAAAGGCACAGAACTAGAGTACCTAAAAATCTGGGGGAGAGGGGAATCAAGTGGGAGAAATCAGTCTACCTTATTTCAGATGTACACAGCTACAGGAATCAAGACTGTGTGCTAATGGAGAACCCAGAAACAGACTGAAATAGACCCACACAAATATGCTCAACTCACTTTTGACAAAAGTGCATCAACAATTCAGTAATTGAAAGCGAGTCTATTCAACAAACGGTGCTGGAGCAACTGGACATCCATAGGCCAAAAAATGGCCCTCAACTTAAGTCTGACACCTAACAGAAAAATTAACTCAAAATGGGTCATAACATAAATATGAAATATAAACTATAAAACTTTTAGGAAAAAAATACGAGAAAATCTTTGGGATCTAAGGTTAGGCAAAGAGTTCTTAAACTTGACACCAAAAGCACAGTCCATAAAAGGAAAAAATGACAAATTTCAACAACATTTAAAAATTTTGCTTTGCAAAATACCCTATTAGAAGATGAAAAGATAAACTACAGACTGAGAGAAAACATTTGCAGATGACATATCTGAGAAAGGACTGGAATTTAGTATGCCTGAAAAACTTTAAACCCAACAGAAAAAAAAAAAATCTAACTAGAAAATAGGCAACATGTTGGGAGGCTGAGATGGGACGATCACTTGAGCCCAGGAGTTTGAGACCAGCCAGGGCAACATGGTCACACCCCTGCCTCTACAAAAAATACAAAAATTAGCCGGGTGTGGTGGTGCACACCTATAGTCCTAGCTACTTGGGGTGGCTGAGGCAGGAGGATCGCTTGAGCCCAGGAGGTCGAGGCTGAGGTTGAAGTGAGCCATGTTGGCACCACAGCACTCTAGCCTGGGTGACAATGTGAGAAATGCAAGTTAAAATCACCATGAGGTGTCACCATACACCTATAAGAATGGCTAAATTAAAAACAGGGACAACACCAAATGCTGGTGAGGATGTGCAGAAACTGGACCTCTCCTACTCTTCTGGTGGGGATGGAAAATAATACAGCCATTCTGAGAAAGTTTGGCAGTTTCTTATAAAACTAAGCATGCAATTACCATATGACCCAACAATTGTATTCCTGGGCATCTATCCCAGAGAACTGAAGACTTATGCTTACATTATGAGTTACTGTACATGAATGTTTATAGCAGCTTTATTCCCAAGAGCCAAAAACTGAAAACAACCTAGATGTCCTTCAAACTGTGGCACAATCATACCATGGAATACGACGTCAGCAAACTACAGACACATGCAACAACCTGGATGAATCTCCAGAACTTTGCTGAGTAAAAAAAATCCAACCTCAAAAGGTTACTAACTGGGTGATTCCATTATATAAGTCTTGGAATGACAAAACTATAGGAACAAAAACGAATCACACTGATTGTCTGGGGTTAAGGAGGAGGCAGGGCAGGAAAGAAGTGAGTGTGGTTATAAAAAGGCACTATGGGATCCTCCTGGTCCTGGGAACATCCTTTATCTTCACCGTAGCAATCAATGACAATATCTTGGTTGTGATATCATACTATGGGTTTGCCAGATATTACTGTGGAAAGCTGGGTAAAGGGTTCTCTCTATACTGCATTATTTCTTACAACTGCATACGAATCTACAATTAATGCAAAATAAAGTTTAATTCGAAAATAAGTTAGTCTCAAAGCAAATTAAGTACAATTAAAAAGAAATCTAACATCAGCTAAATGAAGTGCTCCCTTCTGCTCAAGCGTGTCTGGATACGTACTCTACGAATCAAAGAGTTTATAAAACACATTTTCCTCACCAGGACCCCTCAATTCTCCCTCACTCACACATGCGCACAAACACAGCAACTGAGACAAGGGGGGTCCAAACAGAAAATTTGAGATTTTTTAAAATACGCGATAGAATGAAAAGAGACCTGGGCTGAATCGGGGAGAAAAATCTTTGTCCAGGTTCTATAAAACAAACCAACGGTGTCACTTTGGACGGATCCTCTAATCTCTCAGCCTACAATCTGAACTCTTTCTACAATTTAAACTTCTCATGTAGGAGGCTGCTTAGGAGAGTAGTTCTCAAACTTTTTGGTCTCCAGCCTCCAAAGAGCTTTTGTTTACATAGATTAAAACCACTAATGTTTACTATCAGAAATTAAAAGGGAGAATTTGTTTTTAAGAATACACAGACCGGAGCTTGCAGTGAGCTGAGATCCAGCCACTGCACTCCAGCCTGGGCGACAGAGCGAGACTCCGTCTCAAAAAAAAAAAAAAAAAAAAAAAGAATACACAGACATCGGCCCTCCAAACGGTGGTATCATTCCATATCATGTAGCCTTTGGAAAACTCGATGTACAGGTCCTTGGTACTATTATGAAAATAGTTGTAACGACACTTTGAAAACCGCTGGCTTACTAGCAAGCGAAATAAATATACAAAAGTAACTGGAAAGGTTCAAAACAATGAACAAACGCGTTCTTTTAGAGTACAAAAGAGTCAAGGCGGGAAAAAAAACGGTTCGGAGGAAAACTTGGACGACCACACCATTGGGTAAAACGCGAAAGCTTTTGAAAAGCCAGGGAAGCCGGGCTTTCTCCCGGGGGCAGGGAGGCTGGGAAGTGCTCACGGCTGTGAAAGATGACCGCTATTCAACCAGTCCGCACACCGCCCTCAACACCGTTACAGCCATGAGAGACCCACAATCACCGCTGTGGGTTTAACTTTTGGCAAAGACCGGGAAGTCGTTCAAGAAGAACTCCCCCACCGTCCCGACGCTGGCACCGCGCCCCGTGCCCCGCGAGCCGGGGTCCGGCCGCGCCCAGGCTCCTGTCCCGCCCCAGGCGCCCGGCCGCCGCGGAAGCCGGGAAGGACTGGGCGGGCGGGGCCCGAGGGGGCGCGGGTCACAATCCCGGGCCGGACCAGGGGGCCAGCGGGCCGGGGTCGCGGTCCGGGAAGTCCCGCGGGGGCCGAGGAGCTCGGGGCTGGGGCCCCGGCGTCGGCGGGACTCACCAGGTGCCGCGCCACCTCGGAGGAGGCCATGGTCGCGGGGAGGGGCGCGGTGAAGCGGCTGTATCAGCCCGGCCCCGAGCGGCTGGTCCCGACAACGGCGGCGGGAAGGCGGGAGCGCTGCAGTAACGGGCGGGGCGCGAGGCGAAGCGGCTCCGCCACAGGGAAGGGACAGGGGCGGGGCCGAGCTGGAGGCCTCCGGGGACGGTGGACGGGGGGCGGGGTCGGGGCGGACGCCCTGTGGTGCGCGCTGAGCGTTTTGAGTTCGCCAAACGAGCCCCTCGCGGGAGCTGCCCTCGACGACTGAGGACTGAGTGTCAGTGTTAGGGCGGGCTGAAGGAGAGCCGGGACTCCAGGAAGAGGGCGCGAAGAATGCAGGCGGGAACTGCGGAACAGTGATTGCGGCCCACGCGAGGCCGGAAGTGGGCGGGCCCTGAGGCAAGGCCGCCCTAGGTGGGTGTGGCTGATACAGCGGGGAGCGGAAGTGGGCGTGGCCTGTTGTCGTGGGCGCGGGGCGGGGATGCGGGGGGCGTGTCCCCCCGGGCGCGGCCCAGTGAGGCGGTGGCCGAGTTCTCCGGCCTGTGACGCCTAGGCTGGCAGCACGCTGAGCCCGCCAGACTCCGCCGTCGTCGGGAGACGGCCGCTGGGAGCCCGCCGCGATGGGACCGCGCTGAGCCGCCCGCTGGCGGGGGAGCAGCGCGGTCTAGGATGGAGGGGTCGGCAGAGTGGGGCCCCGAGGCAGTGCTGGGCCCCGAGGCGGTGCTGCGCTTCCTGGCGGAGCGCGGGGGCCGGGCCCTCCATGCCGAGCTGGTGCAGCACTTCAGGGGCGCACTGGGCGGCGAACCCGAGCAGCGCGCCCGCGCCCGCGCGCACTTCAAGGAGCTGGTGAACGCCGTGGCCACGGTGCGCGTCGATCCCGCCGACGGCGCCAAGTACGTGCACCTCAAGAAGAGGTTCTGTGAGGGGCCGTCCGAGCCCTCCGGGGACCCGCCGCGAATCCAGGTGACCGCCGAGCCCGAGGCCCCCGACTGCCCGGCCGGGCCCGGGGTGCGCGATCGGCTCCCCGACGCAGCGGCCCCGGAGGCGCTCCCTGGACAGGGCCGCGAGCTGGGCGAGGGAGAGCCCCACGCCGCCGCTCACGGGCCGCCCCTGAGCGCCGGGGCTCGCAGGAAGAACTCGCGGCGCGAAGTGCAGCCCCTGCCCCGGACTCCGGCCCCGGGACCCAGTGAGGACCTGGAACCCCCGCCCCATGGCTGCGAGGAGGCGGACAGGAGCAGCTCCCTTGGGGGGGCCACCGCACAGAGGCCGGCCCGCCAGAACTTCCGCGACCTGGTGATGGGCAGTTCCCCGCAGCTGAAGAGGAGCGTGTGTCCCGGAGGCAGCAGCCCGGGCAGCTCCTCCGGGGGAGGACGCGGCAGAGGCGGTGGCGACTCAGACAGCGCATCGGTGGCCTCGTCGTCCGCGGAGGAGGAGAGCAGCGGCGGAGGCTCAGTGACGCTAGACCCCCTGGAGCACGCCTGGATGCTCTCTGCCTCCGATGGCAAGTGGGACAGCCTGGAGGGCTTGCTCACCTGCGAGCCCGGCCTGCTGGTCAAGCGGGACTTCATTACCGGCTTCACTTGCCTGCATTGGGCCGCCAAGCACGGAAGGCAGGAGCTTCTGGCCATGCTAGTCAACTTCGCCAACAAACACCAGCTGCCGGTGAACATCAACGCCAGGACGAGCGGGGGTTACACCGCCCTGCACTTGGCGGCCATGCACGGGCACGTGGAGGTCGTGAAGCTGCTGGTAGGGGCCTACGACGCCGATGTGGACATCAGGGACTACAGTGGGAAAAAGGCCTCCCAGTACCTGAGTCAGAGCATCGCTGAGGAGATCAAGAACCTGGTGGGAGCCCTGGACGAGGGTGACGGGGAAAGCGCCGCGGGTAGCAGCGGTGGGCGCTGGAGGCTTTCAAAGGTGCTTCCCTCGCATCTCATCACCTACAAACTCTCACACGTCCTAGATGATGGAGGAGACCATCACTACCATCACCATCACCAACATCACCACTTGGCTGAGGGGTGGGTCGGAGGCAAAGCCAAGGATCCAGGGCGCAAAGCCTCTGGCAGCTCTAGTGGACGTATAAAACCCAGACTCAACAAAATCCGCTTCAGAACCCAGATTGTCCACACCACACCCTCTTTCAGGGACCCAGAACAGCCACTGGAGGGTGGCGGGGAGGAGGAAGTGGAGGAGGAACGGTCTGTTAAAGGCCACTCGTCTTCCTTCAGATTGAGACCAAAGTCCAATGTATTTGGGTAAAAATTATTTCTTTTAGAAAATGCTAAGGGTTATTTGTCTTAGGAAATTGAATACTAGGTGTTGTAAGGAAATGAGACCAGAAGGACAAGCTAAATTATGCATTCTTACTTGAGGGACTGGAATGGATGGGGCGGAGTTCCCTTCAGGTTAGCCTTCTGGGGAAAGTGGATTTCTTTTTAAGAGATTCATCATACCTTGACCTGTGCCTCTTTTCTGCCCTCCACTTCCCTGCCCTGGAGCCCATTTCTGGAGACTAGAAATGTATCTAAATTGGGGGAACAGAATGAATGAATGAGAGTTCCTTTGCTTTAACCATTCCTGGATGTCTGCAAAGTAAGGAATAGTGCACTTTTTATGTATCTGATTTTATAAGGGGTTACTCTTTCAAGAGCAACAAAAAAATGCAAATTGTAATGAAACTGGTAGTATTTCTGAGTGTGAAAACGACAGGCTGCCCCATTTTTTACTAATTGCATTTGCATTTTAAGGTACTACTGAAGGTCAGATCAAAGTTGAAATGCAAAAATACTAATTAGGTAATAATGTGAATAAATGGGAATCCTCTTGGTATTTTATGTGTATTGTAAGTAGCAGTTAAATTATTTTTGTAAAAGCAATTTCAGTTTTAATCACTGAACAAAAGAAACAGGCAACATTCACTTCTGTAGTATGGTTTCCAGCTATCTCTAACACCACTATTAAGGTACACCAGTGTTAAGGTACATTAATAACTACACAAAATTTTATTTAAAGAGGGCACTTAGCAGCCTATGATAGTTTTAAATAAAATGTTGCCTCTCCTTCGGATTCTCACTAACTTGTGTTACTATTCTAAAAGTTTGCATTTGCTGGGGTGTTTATTCTGAGGATCATATAACCATTGTTCTACTTGGCATAACCCTGTTTAATGGTGCTTAGAGCTGAATTACCTACAGAAACTGTTTCTGGTTTAAATAATTAGCACAAATTGGCTCATGAGCCCATGTTTCTGTGAAGTAATTATTAAACCAACGTAATGATCCTCACGTAAGGTACACTTTTTATTTTACTACATTGGTAGTCTCTATGACTTGTAGCAATGTTTTATAAATGTTTAAAATGCTAAACTTAATTTTCCAACCTTTTCTTGACAATTAGATACCTATCCTGTAGTTACTGAAAATCTGGGTAGTAAATCTACCCAGTTAAAATGGCACTTTATAAAAGGGAATAGAGAAGAGATGGGACTATTTCTATATTTAAATGCTGCTGGCTATTAAATTCCTTTGTATATAAATGAAAAATACCATTCATTAAAATTAAGGACTTAAGTGTGGTTCTTAATTACATTTCATTCGTTTATGTTAGAGTAAATGGCTTCATAATTACTTTAAAATTTAACCCACAAGCATATGAAATCTGTTTGTCATAAAATTGGAAACAATTTTTGAGAGGGACTAATTTAAACAAGTCCTTCTCCTTTAGTCTTTTGGGTCACGTAATTGCTGAAACCTAAGTACCTACAGACTACAGGATAAGGAAGTTCACAGCCTGCAGGGTGAATGAACCCATGTGTGAACTGCACAAAGCAATTCATAGAAAATGCACAGAAATTTGTAACACTTTTGTCACGTCTGTCTCTAGATGCTCATTGAATTTGTTTAAAGATGGATGAAAGGCCGGGCATAGTGGCTCACGCCTGTGATCCCAGCATTTTGGAAGGCCGAGGTAGGTGGATCACTTGAGGCCAGGAGTTTGAAACCAGCCTGGCCAACATGGTAAAAACGTGTCTCTTCTAAAAATACAAAAATTAGCTGGGTGTGGTGGTGCGTTCCTATAGTCCTAGCTACTTAGGAGGCTGAGGCATGAGAATCACTTAAACCTGAGAGGCGAAGGTTGCAGTGAGCCAAGATCATGCCACTGCACTCCAGCCTGGGCAGCGGAGACTCTGTCTCAAAAAAAAAAAAAAAAAGATGAATGAAAATATGAAATATCTAAACTATTATCCATTCGTTTGCCTTTTGTTGTGGGATTTTAGATATGAACTGTGTAAATTTGAGAAGCACTTATGCATACACGTGGGTGAAAAACCAATCTAATTTTGTATAAATAAAAATAGGCTCCTGGAAGGTGAGAAGTAGTCAGTTGTGCTGAATCTATACATATTGCCTGTATCTAGTGCGGAATAAGCTATGACGTCCCATTGAGGAATCTTAAATTTCATAGACATGTAAAGCTGAAATAACTCTAAAGAGTAGATGTTTCAGAACCATCAGAAGGTTCTGGTGAACAGTCAGTATTATCTCTTAAATGTATATGTTGGTCACTAATTGCACAAAATCTATAATTTGCTAGGGCTTTAGAGATTGACTCAATATGTCATTTACTGTGGTTTTCCCCCAAAGGCTTTAACTTTTCTGATAAAATAATATTTTAAATTTTCAAAAACCCATTCCTGAGGGGAACTACTAGCATTCCTTTTCATGATGTGCTTGTTTGTGCAGTAAGTAGCATTTTTGGCTACTTAACTCTACATTCCTCTTATTTTTCAGTTTCCAGTCAAGATTATAAAAAGCAAGATTATAATTTGATATTCATAGAGTTGCGCCTACCTTTAATGGAAAAATGTATGTCAGATACTTAGATGTTTATTGATATGAGACCATGTGGTTAAAAAACCCAAGTATGTCCATGTGTTTCTTATAAGGTACACTTGAAACTAGTGAGTATTTGTCACATTTCACTTTCATGGTATGTAAAATGCAGTTCGCATATATAACTTGAATATCTGGTACTAGTTTTTTCATGCCTGAAATCTTGGAGTCTAGGTTGCCTTGTCTCTCCTTTTTTTAAATAAGTGAAATTTGGGAGATTGTAAAATCTGTAAAGTTTGTTTTGTCAAAATAAAATGTTCACAGTAGAATTTTTCTCTGAATTGTTTAAGTTTCTGTCGTCCTTTAGACTTTTTACATATACTGTGTTTTACAGTTCACAAAATGCTTTTTGAAGTTTCAATTTATTTGACCCTTTTCCTATCCCTTAAGATTATGGGCCATATGTTCTTGACTTACAGATAAGAAAATAAAGGTTAATGGTTGTTCAGGGTCACACAGTAAAAAGCTGTTAGTAAGATCTTAAGAGTCAGTGCTTTCCCACAACGTTACCTTTTCTGCACGTTGAATTGCCAC